TTCTTGCATTATTATGCTGTTACATTATGATTATATATTCAGTGGCATAAAATGGTCTTTAAAATGACAATAATATCGCTTATCGCAATTATTTCTGGGGCAATATATCGCACAACAAAAAGTTGTTATCGTGACAGGCCTAGCAACAACACAATGATGTCTGCTTAAAAAAAAAGATCACATGCAAATGGTGTGACAACTGAACATGGTTTGGGAGGGAACAACAACCACATGAGCAGAAGTGTGAAAAGTCAAAGTAAAGGAGGTGGCATACACACCAGTAACAACCTCCTTCACTTCCTTAAAACACAACACATACATTGGAAGCAATACCACTATTTATGGTGGCTTAGATTAGCCTTTTAAGACTTTAAATTACAGTTGACCTACAGTTGCTCTAGTTTTAGTTTCCAGATACAATACCATTAAGACATTTATAATGTCACAAAAAATTTATTCCAAATAAATGCTGTTCTTCTGAACTTTCTACTCAAAGAATCCTGAAAACATTTATCATGGTTTCCAAAAAAATATTACACAGTACATTGATCATTAACAAAACAGACAAATCTATTATTACTAGAGTTTCAATTTCAGTATTTGGCAACAAGATTCATAGAAAGAAATGACAGATTATTACAGAAACAAAATGTGATTCTGCACCTGGTTGTCTGTATGATCACAGTCAACTTAATTGACTCACCCTGTGTATGTGGAGCCTCTCTCAGCAGTTTCTCTTTGAGCAGTCTGAGTGCTGTGGTGCTGTACGACGTCAACAGAGCCTGACCCTTCGGCCTCAGCAGACATCCCAGAATTCTCTCCTCTGTCATGGGCCCTTCTCTAGCTGACCACAAACCCTTCCACAGGGTCTCTAGCTGAATATTTGACCTCTCTGGCCCCCATGGTGCTAAGACCAGCGCTGAACACACCTCTTCCACCCATTTCTCGTTCCTCTCTTCCACAGGCACGTTCACTCGCTCGGTGAGGTGCTGGATGAAGACATCCTGTAAGGCGTGGTCTCTGGAGTGGCCTGAGTGCTGAAGGAAGCTGATGAGAGAGTGGCAGAGCTGCGGCTGCTGGTGGGTTAAAAGAGAACGGAGGCAGGATAGAACAGCAGCACTCAGTGGAGTGGTGCAATCACCTGGAATCTTTCCCTTTACTTCCTCAGAGTACAGGAAGGCTTCATGCAGCTCCTATAGAAGACATAGAGCAAAGTAAAGACGGCATGAAACACAAATTGTGATCATTGTTTCTTCTTTATTGTGACGTATATCTGAGTGAAATGACTTCTCAAATGTGAAAAAAATTTAAGATGACACTTGATTTTGTAGAATTGATTGGATTGTTGGATTGCTGTCATTTGTTAATTGCTGTGATTGTTTACAGAGAAAAGATGTTGTTGTAAGGGGAGGCCCATTAATGTTGTTGATTAAATATTATTAGAGCACATTTTGCACATTTGAAAAAAACTAAAATGATGTAATTTAAAATGAATATAATTTGAAACAAACACATGACTTTTAGTTATAGTGTATAAATCTTTCAGGACACACACATCATGTCTACAGAGGCCGTCAAAGAGATAATATACATCTCAGTAAAATAAATAATTGAAATTTCCACAAAGCATACAAGCAATTTTGCCTTAAGGTGCAGTTACATTTAACATTGTTCTGCAAAATTTCAAGGGCAAAATAATTTCAATAGGATTCCATGCAATTTGGATTTTTGCTTAAGGCAAAAGGTTTTGCAAATCTTGGTTGAACGGACTTGCCACACTGACCAACAGAAAACTGCTTGGTTTGAGATTGACTCCTGTGTAAGCTGCACTTCATACATCACTTTCACTAATGACAATAGACCTGTTTTAGACTTCTGGAAACACTGTCACTTAAAAAGTGTCTATTGCAAAATTAAGATTTTTTAACATGGAAAAGGGATGCAATATTTGTCAGAATGGAAAAAAAAGTGCAAAAATAAAATGTTATCATACTGTATGTCTTGCTCAACAGTGCACACGTGCACAACATCAACTGATAGAGTAGAACCTTATCAGAGCTCAAAGCAAAGGAAATAATCTGAGGTTTGTCAATAAAAGGCCATAAAGTTGTTACAACAGTGTCAGCACTATCTTACTATATATGCTACACACTTGGAATCAACATACAGTAGTTGTAATTTGTCATACCTTAAGCACAGACAGTGGCACGTCTCCAAGTTCCTCTAGAAGCAACATGAACTCCAGTTCTCTCTTCACAGACCCGCTCACCTGCAGAAAAAGTAACCATAATCTGCCTCAGGAAATGAGTTACCGATAACAGTGATGAATGCTTCCTACTTGAAGCATCCATGAAAAATTATATCCAGCAGAAAACGCACACCTTTATTTTAGTCTGTTTTTCCAGAACCTGAAGCCAATACCAGGCCAGTCTGTGAGGGCTGCCCACTGTTTCCCATCTAGGTATAAACAAAAGAAAAACAGATGTGTTTCCTAAAATATCTTAACTTTAGCCTCTTGAACCCTCAACATAACGAAATGTTAAGAACCTCTTATAATGGTAACCACAGTTTCCACCAAAAGTTTACTATAACTAGTGAAACCACTATCCACAGAAAGAGGAAAATGGATTTGATTACATTATAGTTCTCGGTATTGGTTCGTTTATGACTTTAATAAGCAATCCTGTAGTTTATTCCTCTCAGGGTCACTCACCTGAGCGGGTATGGGTGGGTAACGATGGCTTTAACGATATTGTGTGGGCCATGGGGATCATCTCCGCTCGCATCGCCGAGCTGACCCACGCAGGCTGCCGCGAGCTCCCACTCACCGCGCGTCAAACACCGCGTGAAGAAGCCGAAGAGCTCGCGTCTGGAGGTCTCTTCTTCACGGCCAAACGGATGCATTATAGATAGTCCGCTTTGATTCAGCAGTCTGTTGAGGTCCACGGAAAGATTACTGGCCTCAGATGTGCTATGAAGTATTCCACATCTAAAGTAGATAGGAGGGGATGGAAATTGAAAGAAAAAAATCATAAGCAGTTTTGTAACCATCTCATAAGTTATATATCAAATCAAATTCAGAATATGCACACATTTTTTATAAAGGTCCAGAAAAGCATTTACTTAAAAAAAAATAATGATAAGATATAAAAATAATAATAAATCCAAAGTCAACAAAAATGTACAGACTTCAAGTGAGAAGATCAGAACCGGTTAGTTTAAAAACTATTCTAAAGCAGAAAAAGTTACAGAATTGATGTCAGCATTTCTTGGATTTAGGCTGTTGACGACTTCTATAACGTATTTACATTGCGATTAGTGTGATTTAAACTTTGGTTTATGTAACAGCTCTTAAAAGTGAAATGATGACAACAAAACAACAGACACTGCCCACTTAAAATAGTTTGGAAGAGAGCAAATTGACTTCACTGTCAAACGTCAGTACATCGTTTTACGCTTACGTACAAGAATAAATAAATGATTAAATTAGCACTCACGATTTGAGTTTGTCCTCTATATCTCAGACTAGAGAACAGCGCGTTCAAAATGCGCTTGCCATCAGCTGTGTGTGGCCATGAGAGTGCCGAGTCATGTGACTCAATCAGCTGATCCAGGAGCTGTCAGTTCAAGGGTCAAAACAATAGATATGAAAGAGGTGGTAGGAATGGCAAATGCAATGAAACTGTTGATCACAATAGGCTGGGCTTCTAATTAAAAAAACAATACTTCTTTTTTGTGACAATTAAATTGCTAGTCATTATTTAGATGGAAATAACTTTACTGCGATTGCTGATGTAGTCAAATGATACCTGATACTTTTCTCAGCGCTGGATAGATGAGCCAATCACAGTCGTTTGTGATAAAGGATTTTTTTTAAAACATTTTATTGACATTTCTTTAGTTGATTTCAGTTTAAATCTAGGTACTAATCATTTGGATTGACAGATTAAATAATTACATTTTATTATGTTCAAAAGTAATCAATATGATTAAAAGAAACGCCTTCAAACGCTGCACCTCTCTGCTCGACTATAATAAGCGACCCCTGGCGGAAGACAATTAGGTTATTTTTCGTGCAATATTTGTCTCCCAGAGGTCCAAATAAACCATTTCTCCCGCAGTATTATATCTGCAGTTAAACTTTTTGTTTTGGTGGATGATTGTTGTGACTTAAAATCTTTTGGATTTATTGTGAAAATGTTTTTGATAGTCAGTGACGTGGTTTTACACAGATGTAAAGTGCGCATGTGTCATTCATACAGTTATTCTGTAATTTTATTTAACGAATGTCTTACAGTCAGTAAATATCGTCTTGAAGGTCTTAAATTGTAAATATTTTCTTGTTTCCGTTGCTGCACTCTAATACACATTATTTGGGTTGATGCCACAATTGTTCGTATTTAGCAAGATTAAATTATTTTAATTTGTACTGAGAAATGTAAATTGTAATGACAGCCAGAATTAAAAATGCTGACATGCTGTTAAACCTCGAGAATGACACTAGGAAACCTGATCAGTAATTTGGAGTTTATAAGCCTTGGAAACTCTCTCTGGGTGGTAAAAACATATTGCAGAAACAAAGCCGGACTGGTTAACGTTAGATGGGAATGTGAAACAATACACCTGTTGGGACTTGGGAGCTAATTATGTCTCCTGAGTGTGTTGTCCATGTTTGTGATTCCACCATTATATGAGCTTATTCCCAAGTGAATTAGGGTTAATCTTGGTATAACTTGCGCCTTTTAATGTATAAGAATAAGCATAGTTATTCAACTTATGCAAATAAAGACTTCAAAATGTACCTGTTTTTTGCGTAATTTGTAGGCTAGTGTATTTCTGGAATCACGAGGCTTGGTATATGTTATCATAACGAGCAGAGATTCATTCATTCATTTATTTTGATATGTGCTGGAGTCACTACTGTATTTTTGTCATCACTCTGCCTGTGATAGTTACTATGGCAACGCAGTGGCGAGAGGCGGGGTTCGCGGATTCGACGCCGGTCTCGCGAGTCGCGCACTGCGATGATAAATTCCGTGCGTTACAGCTATTGTCCTCGCGCTTGAAACGCAACACCTGCACGACTAAACTAAAGCCTTTCGCGACAGAGGAAAGCATGACAGATAAGGGGAACATCCGAAACGTAAGTATAATGACGATGATTGTAGAGTTTATCCGCCACTGAGATTGATTGATTGTGCTGGCACAGTGACGTACTCACTGGACTGGTATATATGACTGGTAAATGTGTCATATATCCTATATTTGAGACTGCTACATTTATAAATGATACGACTCGGTTATTTGCATATTAACATATAATTTGCATATTAAAATAAAATGTAAACTGTAAAAAGGATGTCTCGCAGCGATTAAGATATCGTAATGATTTTAAATCAGTACATTAATAAATATCATTCGTATTTTGCCTGACTATAACATTAGACATTTGAATGACAGTAAAGCACTATTCCTGCAGGAGGAGGACTATGTTGGGGAGATCAAAGGGGGTCTACGGCCGACCATGAGGCTGGTAGTGATGGGTATTGTTCACAAGCAGCCCAAAAGGTTCGTATCAGACACCTGTCTGTGCGTTCGCCAGCACTTGCGTTCATTTGTCAGATGTCACATCCGCACATCCTGAATGACTCGGTTCATTGAGGATGAGACGCGCCTTCACTGCGGTAACACAATGAGCCAGTTGTATCGGGGATTAAACCGTTTTAACGTCTCCAGTTCACACAGGAGCAAAATAAAACATGGGTGCCAACAGACAACACTAGACATAGAACTCATTTTAAATGCATTTGGGAAAACACCCATTTAATTGCAATACCGCGTATGTGTATCTATGTGTGTGTATACAATATTAGTATATGTATTTTTATGTAAATATATTTATATTGTGTAGCTTATTAGTTTATACATACACTATATAGACATAAGTATTGGGACACCCCCTTCTTTAGAACAGAAAAAGGCACTTCCAAAACTGTGGCAACAAAGATGGAAACATAATTCATGTATTTAAAATTGTATTTCCATCTCTGTTGCAACAGTTTTGGAAGTGTCTAAAATGACTGTACCTATATGTACAAGTCATTGGTGTTTGGTGATGAGTTTTTGGCTCAAAGTCTGCATTTAAAGTCACACCAGAGGTGTTCAGCTGGAATTAGGACTTGCGGACCAGTCAAGTTCTTCCACAATGACAGAATCAATCATTTATTTTTTAACCTTGTCTTATACACAGAGGCATTGTCATGTTAGAATAGAAAAGGGTCCTGTCCAAACTGTTGCTAAAAAATTAGAAGCACACAATTCCCTAGAATATCATTATATGCTTTAACATTAAGATTTGTACACATGGAAATGACTAAGTCAAACTTGTTTATTAGATGGGGGTGTCCCAATACTTTTGTCTATTGTGTGTAGTACTATACAATGTAGCCACATGCACGAAAAAAAGTGCTAACTGAACTTATTTTATTCAAGTCAAAAATATTATTTAACATCTCTGAAACAACCTGTATACATGAATGTATACCAACAAATCTAACACTTTTTACAGTGTATAACAGTTACTAAATAAGAAGTAACTACGTTTTTTAAATCAAATTAAATAAGCGTGATGTTTGAGCAGGGAATTTTGACAGGGAATACAACTTTTCTCCACAAATTAAGGAAATTGATTCTTTTTACTTCTAAAAACATACTGTAAAATTGTATTGTAACTTAAAGTTTTTTTTATATATATTTTTAGGGGTTTTTACTGTAACATTTTAACATTTGTTTTCAATTAAAATGACTAACATTTTTTACAGTGCAATGCATTTGGTTTTCCGGCTGTTGTTGTCCACTTCTGTTTTGCCAGTGTGGGAAAAAAGTCAATTCCCATGAAGGATTAGCCAGCCTGATCTTTGGGGAAAAAAAGAAGAAAAAAAAAACAGATTGGACAATTCTGGCCATATTTGGCAACTAAGGGTTACCCAGAAACTGCTGGTTCATAATGTGATTTGATCTGGAGCGTCTCAGATTTCAGAATTGACACAGTCTGTTAAAATGATGCTTGTTTTTAAACTGATGTTAAAAATACTTTTCTGTCTCTTTAGTATGGTAGTGTTAGTGGCATGCCAGTCTAAAGGAGAGGGGGATGAGGAAATCGAGGGTGATGTGGGTCTGGAGTTGAAGGTGAACTTTTCAGAAAAGGCTGTGCTTCGTAACGCTCGTCTGTCAGGAAAGTGGGGCGCTTCAGAAACTGCCCTGTCTTTCTTCCCCTTTGCTCCAGGAGAGCCCTTTAAGGTAAACAGGCAGAATGTGTGTTTGAAGGTTGTGATCACAGCTAATAAAGCTTAAAGGAACACTCCACTATTTTTGAAAATAGGCTAATTTTCCAACTCCCCTAGAGTTAAACAGTTGAGTTTTACAGTTTTCGAACCCATTCAGCCGATCTCCGGGTCTGGCGTAGCACGTTTAGCTGCAGCTTAGCATAGATCATTGAATCTGATTAGACCGTTAGCATCTCGCTCAAAAAAGATGTCCCATCTTTCTGTCACAATAATGTTGTTTCTATCTTCTGTCTCTTTCAGATGGAGATTGTGTGCGAGCACCAGCAGTTCCGTATTCTGGTGGATGGGCAGCCGTTGTGTGGTTTCACTCACAGACTAACTCAGCTCGCATCTCTCACTGCTCTTAGAGTCCATGGAGACCTACAGCTCACCAAAGTGGCTTGAGCAAGTGAAGAATTGTCTGCCATGATGACATAGACTATTCATAGAAGCAACTTAGCTGAGGTCTTAGAATCCTGAGCGTATTGTACACAATTGTCTTAAAATTCCAGAACTCCCTCAGTTCATTTAAAACATTTAGAACTCAATTCAGTTGGGTCTGTGTTTGTTTTGGTAGGCTAATTTGCCATTTTGTAAAGTTTCTCCAGTGATATTTATTTTTAGTGGCAAATGAGGCTGTTCAGTTTAAAATGGTTTTGCGTTTGTTTGGACACATTTGTAGTAGAAAATATGATCTGAACCAGCTTAAATCAATCCAGATAACAATTCAAATTAAGAATGATTTTCCATAAACTAGCTCAGATAGAAGATTTCTTTCATATAGTTTTTATAATACATAATGTACTAACTTTTTTGTTTGCTTTTGATTAGATATTTAGTTTCTTTGGCTCTTTGATACAGAAGCAAAAGTGCCTTCATTTGTTCCATTAGATGCACTTATACAGTAGAGAACTTTGGGTGTTTTTGTAGCAGTAATTGTTGTTGTTCAAATTCACTTGCATTTACACATTTGGCAGATGCTTTTATCCAAAGCAACTTACATTGCATTCAAGGTATACATTTTGACCAGTTCCTGCATTCATTTAATCAAACCCATAATCTTGACATTGATAGCGACATTCTCTACAGTTTGAGAAACAGAAATGTTTTTTGTTTGCCTGTCTAAAAAATTTGTTAAATCGTTCCAACAGAATAGAATAACTCAGAAACATTTTTGTTTATCCTTTGTTTATTTGAATGTACTGCAGAACAGGTTTGATGGCATTAGGAATCTAAGGATTCATAACTGACACCCGAATGTTCACTTTAAAATGCAATACCCTGCGATTGTATTGGTTTGAAGAAAAAGGACTCAAAGTCCATCTGAAGCCTGTACTTGGTGCTGTCAATCTACACACTTAAAGCTGCAAATGAAGCATGTATTAAAAGCAAGGTTTACTTGAATGTCTTTAAACATCTAATAATTGCTATATGTACTGTAAACAGTAAACTTTTCTTAAATAATTTTTATGAAGATCTGATTATTTAGGTTATTTAATGTGTGTGTGTGTGTGTGTGTGTGTCTGTGTCAAAGTGTGTATTTGGGAATGTTTAAAAGAGATAGAGCGAGAAATATGCTCACAGGTATAGTGTGTTTTTAAACCATAGCAACAAACCAACAGATCTGTGAAAGACACAAAGTCAGTTCTGTTACCTGACAAAACAGAAGGCAGGTAAAAACATGCTAATGGTCCATAACAAAACTGGCAGGTATGCACATCAAAGATATGATTGCCAGATGACAATTACACAAATATAACTTTTATTTTACAAAATTTGACAAAATAAATTTCACAATGACCATCATTTATGCTTTCAAAGGACATTCACTGAATGTATAAGCTTTATTACCTGTATATTATATCAAACATTCGATACAGACTTTATCAGGGACATTAAAACTTTGGGGAAAAAATAATTTTATATGGAAATATTCTATATGTTGAATGACGCCTCATGCTGGCCCCATGTGTATTACCTATTTTATTATTATCACATTTTCTATATTAATATTTAATGTTTTATTTGTTACTAGCTGTATAACACTGTATATCCGTTTTCTTTGCACATACACAAATACCACATTTACAACTATTAAAACAGCACAATATTTCTAAATAGATGTGTGACAGACAGAAATATAAATTTAGCAAAAACTATCAAATTAACAATACCAACAATGACCTAGTTAAGTCAGTTGTCTAATAGCTTGGATCCAGTCCATCCTCTCTTCGTGTGTTGGCGCCTGGATGTAATAGTGTGTGTCCGTCTGAGTGATGATTTTAAAGAGGTTCCCCTGGACTTTACCTTTAACACCTGAAGATTACAGGAAAGTGACCATTAGCTTCTGTGTTCACAGTGTTTACCTGTAAATGTTACTGCTACCTTGACAACAAGACCCAAATCATTGCTGTTCAGTGTTTTGAGTCTGTGGCAAAGTCTTTGCTTAATTTTGATTCATATCTGGAATTGCTTTGTAAATATTCATTGTGAAACAGGTAGTCATCAGACTTCAGACACTTCCACAGATGAGTTGTAAGTCTGACTCACCTGACGGTATGCCGTTATCATCCAGAGCAGACACCAGACAGCCACGCAGAGATATACTGCCAACCGGAGTGATGTCATCCTGAGAAAGTCAGCACAAATATAAACATCACATTATTTTTTTAGACTTTAGCATAAAATGTACTTATACAGTCTGTGAACTGCAGGTCTGCGTTCTCACCTTGCTGGGGTCATAATAGTGCAGGAAACCAGGCTCCGCTCTCAGAACAAACAATCTCACCTTCCAGTTCTTCACTTTGTGGCCCTGACACACAGAAAAAAAAAGACTGTTAGCATCACAGATAAGCACTTTTAAGTTCAAAACTTCTAATTATAGTGGAGTGCTCACCTGTTTGAGCAGGTAACCTCTCTTCACCACTTTTCCACTGAGTTCCACCGCAGACCGAGACTTCTCTGCTTTTACACTGCCTCGCTTCTGGAAGCTTTGGGACTGTTTGAGAAATCATATCCATTCGGTTTAGGACATCTTGTATCTAGTATAAATAATTACAAAAGCACTGAATAGAGAATAAAACAAGAAGAAGAACTTTGAAACTTACAAAGCAGTAGAGTGCAGTGGAGTCATCGAGGAACTGTTCTCCTAGAGCTGCGTTACGGAGAGCGTCTGCGCTCCTGATCCCAATGGGCCGCAGGGAGGCCTCATCCAGCAGAGCAGAGGCTAATGTTACTGCTTCCACACGGGTCAGAGCCAGCTTATTAAACACAAGCCAGTCCACCACTGCTGAGCCTACACACATACAAGCAAAAAACTGTTTTATTGTCTGTGTTCACAAGTTCCAGACAGGCTGCCAGTCAGTATGCTGTATAGTTACACAATTAGGTGGCGACAAGTCACTGTCTTTATGAGTGAATCATTCACTCAACAGATTGGTTCAAATACACTGAATCAAACAGGAAAAAACAAGCAACTCATTGGAAGAAGAAAAAACAGACAAACTAACGAGTGATATTGTGTCAAAAAGGTAAGGAATCACGTTATACAGTTGAACATCATACACATACTGTCCACATAAAAAAGTTTGGGGCTAGAAAGTGACGTAGATTACAAAAAAAAAAAATCTATTTCAAATAAATGCTGTTCTTTTGAACTTTCTATTCAACAAAGATTTCTGAAAAGTATCACAGTTTACACAAAACTATCAAATCAGCATATTAGAGTGATTTCTGAAGGATCATGTGACACTAAAAACTGGAGTCATGGCTGCTGAAAATTCGGCTTTGCCATCACAGGAATAAATCACATTTTAAACGCAATAATATATATATACATTTTTTTTATAAATGCTATTTTAAATGGTAAAAATATTTCACGGTAAATGGTAAAAATATTGCTGTTTTTCTGTATTTTGATCAAATAAATGGTCAGCACAAGAGACTTCTTTCAAAAACATTTTAAAATCTTAACATTCCTAAACATTTGAACGGGATTTTATAAAAATTAAGATTATCAGGGGAGAATGTGATGTCTTTAATTACGCACATTCATGCTTTATTGTGTAAGATCAGTGTGTTTTTGAGTATCTGACCTGAGAAACAGTTGGTGTAAGAGCTGCACTGCTCAGCATGACTGCACAGCCGGATACCAGTGTGCACATCATACATGGAGGCCACCACCTGACTGATATACAGACACACATTTAGATATGATGTCACAAACACATATTCACATATACTGACAAACTACATACATAGCTACCTTAGGTTGACATTGTGAAGCTGGAGTGATGTGGATCCTTTAACTTGCGAAGGGGAGGTGGTCTGTGCATCATGTGGGTTGAGGTTCTGTACCACTGCACCAATCGCTGCAGCCCATTCCTCACGTTCCTCTCTTGTGCAAGCTTCCAGAAAGTGCTCCTCTGAAGTGCTGGTCTGCAGCTTCATCACCAACTGCAGGGTGTAGAATGTGGTTACTATGACAAAAGCCTTCAGTCACAGAACTAAACAAACATTTTACATTGCTGACGATAAGCGCAGCACTGTCATTTGTAAGAAAAAATGTATAAATGAAACTGGCACAAACAACATGCCACAGAAAACTCCATCACTCTGTTACACAACGTTGAATATAAATCAAAGACATTGCAAAAATGTACCGGGGGAAATAAAGTTTGCTTCTGACATGCTAGTGCATGTGAACATTGCAAAACAAAATAATGAAAGGTTAATTCATATGAAGCATAACCAGAGGCTGTGAACATTTCAAGCACTTACAAAGACACTCCCAGTGTTGGGTTTAGGGTTTAACTGAACCACTGATAAGCCACTTCTCAATAGCCTACTATCTGTTTGCAGACAGTGGAAATAAGCAACTGACCTTGCATTATATTGAGATATGCAGTTACTTTATTTTAAATTCCTTTACAGCAGATTCTAAAACGGCACTATATTGTAACTTGTAATGTAGTTTTGTGGTTACGCAAATATATAGCATAAAACATCACTTACAGGTCTGTTCTCGTAATCCAGGTAAGGACATGTGATTTTGCAGTCACTCAACGGTATCGTTCCTCGATGGCAGGAATCCCGTTTGCCACCCTCATATTTATAATACAGAAGTCTGTCCGATTTAAGTACAAACCAACGAACTTTCCAGTTTTGAACCACATGACCCTAAAAATGAACATTATTTGTTAATAAGCCAATAACAATTAGGAATTAATTCGTCAGTATGGGTATATATATATATATATATATATATATATATATATATATATAAGTTCAAAAGTCTCTTACCCTTTTCACCAGAAAGCCCTCTTTAAGGACGCCGTTATTTTCTGACTCAGTGCCCATGTCTAACTGTAGTCTCAATAAGCAGGTAAGCGCTTCATCAGGTGTTTTATAGCTGCTGCGGAATTCCTCGGAATGTGCGTCATTGCGCACCTCCTATCGGCGCCCCCGGGTTTTAGGACACACAATCAACGCTGAGCAAGAAAACTTTGTCTGGGCGTGAGTTTGATGAGAAAAACAAACAAACAAATAATGTTAAAATAAAAAAACTAAATTATTAGAACTCGTAAAGTTTAATTAGGCAACGACAGAATTAAATGAATATGATTCTTTTAAATCTTACAATGAACACAACTCTCCGTTGGGACATTCCTGTAGGGGGCTGCTTTCATGAGTCACCAAGACGCAGTCAGACTGAGTCACTAGTTCAGGTGAGATTCAGCTATTCACTGACCGGATGTTTGTTGCGGCAGTGCAGTTTAGCCATGAAAATAACATTTTAAAACTCACGTAGGCCTACAAATTGTATTTCCTTAGTAAAAACTGTAAGCTTTACCATAATAAACAGTAACAGTACAACATCTCACAGTAGGCAAAAAAAATTGGTTACATTATAACTATATATATATTATATATTAATGTTTCATGTTTAGATTTAATTCATATTTGTTATAAATGTTGTGAATTGTAATTCATTTTTAGTCTACATTTACAGAGGAGCCCAAGGTTAGTTGTTTTTCTTTTTTTTCTTTTGTTCCGTAATTGTCAGTATTTTAGTTATTGTACAGCATTGTTCTGAATGTTTCTTCATAATATTACCGAATTCTAAATGTTACATTACAAATGTTAAATGTGTCATTGTAAACAAGTTTGTATTCAGACTGTTAGGAAAATATTCTAAAATTCTAAATTACATAACATACACAAATTTGGACATAAAACTGGAATTTGCCAACAGACATGAATAGCTGTGCCGAGACATTCTTGCACAATTTGTGTGTGGATTATATGCTCAGAAATTAGCGGTCATGTTCCTACATGAACTGCGTGAAGATGGTAAATTATGGCGGGAACACGGCCAAACCGCAGTTACCAAAAAACAAACAAAAAAAAAACTCTTTCATTGTTCATTCACTTCTGTAGTGCACTAGATGGTGCTCTCGCGACTCGCTCAGCAATTGAGTAGGCTATTCGGTAACTGACGACTCAAATTTGATTCTGTGAAATGTTTGCACAGCTTCCTTTTGTTTTCTGTTATTTAGGGTAAAACTATGTCAGTCCATAACATAAACAAGATATCCATTAAAAAATCCCGATTGTTATATTATATGTGCTTGTAAAAGAGTTGGAAAATGTGAAAACTTTAGGTTGGGGAAGGTGTAGTTGGTGTGATGATGCAAATGAGCAAATTCTCAGTTTGAACAAGTTTGTGAGTATTGCAGATCCTGGACACAAAGCTAAAATCCCGGACCTGCTGATCCACTTTTAAATGAAACACACGGGACAGACAAAGGTACACAGCCCCCTGGTTACAGTTGTGTGTGTGTGTGTGTGTGTGTGTGTGAGAGAGAGAGAGAGAGAGAGAGAGAGAGAGAGAGAGACTGAAAAACATTTCTGCCCTATTTACTTTATTACCATATTGATTTTTTTCTAATATATTTTTTAAATATTATTATTATAAAAAATTTTGTCACTTGACTTCTGCAAATTTTATATTCTTTTATATGACCATTTTTAGTAATTGATTGTATGGTTGCTATGGATATGACACATTACACAAATACTTTCACACACAAAGATCAGCTGTTTTACTGGGATTTGCTGCAGCTGGGGGTGTGTCATCAGAAACAACCATTAACACTGTTCAAACAGCGATCCCGAAAGTTCTGACGTAAATGAAATCACACCCGGATGTAGGCCTTTAAAAGAGCAGCATCAAAAGGGGTTAAGGAGTACAAACATTCAGACCCACACAAACATCCTTTGTCTGTTTATAGTGTTTCCTCTGGGTTTGGAGAATGGTGGTAATAAATCACCATATACTGTTATCAAGCCGTAGTACAGTTGTCAAATCATATAAAACATAAATGAAAGTGTCTTTTATGAACCTACACTCACACAAAATCCCATTAAAATTTAACACAATGGATTCTTTTACAAGCCATGTTATCTTTTTTATTTCTATAACATCAGGATGCCAGACTGGGATCAAACAATCTTTGTGTGTATGCATACAAAATACAGTCAATATGAACAAAATATAAACTTTTTAAATATCTGCCTTACATAATATCACATGTCCACTGAACTACAGTATTACTTAACACAATGTACTTAAACATAAATACAATGAACACTTTTAGACAAGCTACTGTGACCTGTGCAAAAAGAAATTCTTAGAAACAACAAGGCCTAGAATGTTAGGTCACCTCGAATTAAGGGTAGCACAAAGGATGTGGAGAAGTGAAATGTGTTAACAAAAGTCTCTTTTTGTTGCACTTTCTATTGGCCTTTTCCTTTTTCTTGTATTTGTGAAAGGAAATAGGGAACAATTTGAAGGATTGAATTCCATGGAGAGGAATGCAACCCAAACCCTTCTGAACTTCTAAAAATAAAAGCTTTTTAGATAGTGTTCACCCCAACACCAACACAGTACTTAAAAACAGGTTTATCTTCTTCCAAAAGCAAGCAAAAGTGCAACAATCTACATCATTGCTCAGAAAATGCAAATATCTGTTTCTACAGAGAACAGATTCACATTAACTCAGCAGCACTGAAATTGTATGGAGATGATAGAGAAAAATAACATAATACTTCATTTATGAATTCTGTAAAGTAGGCTAAATAGCCGACTGTCTGCTCTTTATTTGGCCATGTTGCTATACTGGGAGTTGTAGAGCTCTGTATAATACATTTTATTGCACATAATGTCTACGTATCCTGTTCCTGTGCTATGTTTTAGACAGTTGCGTGTTTTCAAAGTTACACCAATGAAGAACATAGAATGTTAAATCTACAAACAGCTGAATACATGATTAGCTACACTAGGATCTGCAGAGGGTGTGTGACTCTACCAGAGTTTTATACAAGCACTTTTTTACCCTACAATAACCATAATTGAAATAACCATACAATACTTAATTATTCAAAGATTTAAAAAAAAAAAAAAAAAAGCTTTCTGAAAGTTGCATTTAAAATCCACCTGACTAAAAAAAGCTCTTTTCTTCTTCCTCTCACTTTAGAGTCGACTTAGTCTGTGCCAAGACGTCACCACTTTTTCAGGATTAGCCATGGAATCCCTCCATTGTTCCACTGCCTCAGTAGAACTGCTGTCAAAACCCAAGAGGACCTGGATATGAAGGAATACACATAAAGAATGAAACTTAGGGGTTAGTAAGATTTATGAATGAAATTAATACTTTTATACAACAAGGATGCATTAAATCAGTCAAAAGTGACAGTAAAGTGATGTATAATGTTTCTAAAATTATATTTCTGCTCTTTTCAACTTTCTGTTTTTCAAAAAATCTTGTTTTCTTCAAAATAATTTAAGCAGCACAACTGTTTTCAACATAATAATAATAATATTAAATGTTTCTTGAGCACCAAATCACCATATTAAAGAATGATTTCTGAAGGATCATGTGACACTGAAACCTGAAAAATTCCACTTTTTCAGGATTAGCCATGGAATCCCTCCATTGTTCCACTGCCTCAGTAGAACTGCTGTCAAAACCCAAGAGGACCTGGATATGAAGGAATACACATAAAGAATGAAACTTAGGGGTTAGTATTAATGAAATTAATACTTTTATACAACAAGGATGCATTAAATCAGTCAAAAGTGACAGTAAAGTGATGTATAATGTTTCTAAAATTATATTTCTGCTCTTTTCAACTTTCTGTTTTTCAAAAAATCTTGTTTTCTTCAAAATAATTTAAGCAGCACAACTGTTTTCAACATAATAATAATAATATTAAATGTTTCTTGAGCACCAAATCACCATATTAAAGAATGATTTCTGAAGGATCATGTGACACTGAAACCTGAAAAATTGGCTACTGACAATTCAGCTTTGCCATAAGTATATTACCGTACAATAGAAAAATGTTTATAATATTTCACAATATTGCTGTTTTTTTTATCAAATAAATGACTTTAAACGTGTTCCATACTAAACGTAGTGAGTTATAGTACTGTATGTATTTTGCTCCAAACTGACCTGTCCAAGCAGGTGTTTTCTCCGAACAGAGCCACGGCTGTAGAGTTTGACTGCCAGCTGCAGATTCTGGTCCTGATTGGTGATGGGCAAGTGAAGCACTTCGCCCCATTGGATCTGCCCCCCTGATGACTTCATCACCTTCGTCTTCCTCTTCAGTAAGACCCTACCCTCACTCAACAACTCAACCTTCACAAAGAAACCTAAGGAGAACATCCATTTGCACAGTTCATTTTATTAACATTGTCGTATTTGTCATATTCACTCTTCCACAACAATAAACTAAGGAGGGAAATCAATAAGAAATAAGAGGGCTTTCAGGAGGAGAATTTAACTTGTAAAGATGTAAAGTTATGTTACTGAGAGTGTGCAAAATGATGATGAAAGCTGAAGGACTCACTCTGTGTAAGTGGTGAGGAAGATGATGGAAGGTTTTGAGCACTAAGGATCTGGAGTTGCATTCGACTGTTCACTGGCTGGAAGCACAAGGCCAGCTGAAGCTCAGCATGACACACCTACAGAAACACACAGACGCACACAAAATAATCCCCAATAGGGTTAGGTGTTATGTTGCATGTGTGTGTGTGTTATGGCAGACTACCTGCTGTGACTGATTCACTGATTTATAGTTGAGACCCAAAACAATTTCTGACCCAGTAACATACACACACAGCCATTATTCATGAAAAAACTTCCTCTAGACCAGATTCCACTGACTTTCATTCTGGAACACAGTTCTGTCAATTTCAAATACCTCATTATTGAAAAGACTTTCTTTTAAAAAAAAAGCAATTTTCCCTGTTAACTGTTTGATTTCAGTCACATGCACACACAAGCAAAACACGCTGAACCATCCGTTTCCAAATGTTCACAAAAAGTTGGCAAAATCAGCAACTAGTGCCATATCTCATACCTGTATGTGTGTATGGCAGTATTCAGTAGGCCAAACAATGTTTTGATGACCTACTTACAGTGAAATTATGTACAAAGATGATAAAGTAACACAGTAACACTAATTTTGCAGAATTAAATATCAGAATTTTTATATATATTATGTATAGGTATTTAGATGTTACTAATGATCAACTTCTAAAATGTAATGTACTGTATATAAATGTGAAATATTTATAAATAACATGTAAGTGTATGTGTATGTACACAGACTACTGTTCAGTTCAAGGTTGGTAAGATTTTTTAATGTTTTTGAGCCTTTTCTGCTCCCTAAGGCTGCATTTATTTGATCAAAAATACAGTAAAAACAGTAATATTCTGAAATATTTTTACAATTTAACATAACTGTTTTCTATTTTAATATATTTTAAAAGGTAATTTATTTCCTGTGATGGTAAAGCTGAATTTTCAGCATCATTACTCCAGTCTTTATGTCACATGATCCTTCACAAATCATTCTGATATGCTGGTGTTCAAGAAACATTTCTTATTATCAATGTTGAAAACAGACGTCCTTAATTTTTCTGTGGAAACTACGAAACATTTTTCAGGATTCTTTAATCGATAGAAATGTAAACAACATTAATTAACATTAACCTTAATTAACATTAGTTAATCACTAATTAACAATTGAAATCTTTTGTAACATATTATTTATATAAGCTTCAGACAGATCAGTATTTTAAGGGTCAAGTTAATTCCTTCAAGAAGTGCTTACAGCAGTATTGAAATGGCTGGTTTCAGTATATTGATTTCTTCCTCTCTCTGTCGGTCTCAGCCCCAGTGACCTAAATATCACAGGAGAGACCTGAGCAGAACTAGTGCAGCTGTGTAATTTGTGATGCAAGTAAAATATGTGGTCCAGTGGGTGAGTGCAGCACTGTGGGAAATTGCAGGTGGAAGTTTTTTTTCAAAGAACCTTACTGTCAAAATTAGGAAGGATCTGTAGATGGAGACACATTTGGGATTAGATATGCAGTCACAAAGAGATACAGCAGGTGAGGACTCACATGTGTTTTAGAGTGAGGCTTGAACTCCAGCCAGTGCTTTGTTTCCTCCGGTCCAAGGGTTCGCAGAGATAATACACACTCTCCCAGTGTACGCTTACGTGGTGTGTGAGCCTGCAGGCGCAGCACCAGTGCAGATCTGCGTATCTGCTCTAAGTTAAGAGTGAACACGAATGTCTCCATGAAGACAGTGTCCTGAAAGCGAGACAATATACTGAGAGGGATAATTAGCTACAATCTAAAACCGCAACAAAACAATACTACAAGCTCTACATGTGTTTTTGCTTATCGGAGGAAGCATGTTTTTTATGCAGCTTTGGTTGTGTGGGACTTTTCAGTCCAGCTGGAATGGTCATTATTCAAGAAACACAGGAGGGACTGAAGGGAGGGCTGAATAATTCATCACAATTAATTTAAATGATGACAGAGCTGCCAATCTTAACATGCATTTCTTGTAATATCAATCTACGAGGTCTATGATTCCTAGGAAATGTTTTTCTCATTCGTCGTAATGGGAAAAATTGTGATATATATTTCATAAGTTTGGGTTCAGTACTATCTTTTAATGTTTTTGAATGAAGACTCTTAAGCTCACCAAGCCTGCATTTATTTAACCAAAATATAATAAAAAATATTACAATATAAAATCATTTTTAATTAAAAAACAATTT